ACTTTCGGAGCTCCAGGTATGGCCACCACATTTCCATGGGTGTTATAGAGGGGTCCCGAGAGGAGTCAGAGCAGTTCGGCTTTTTACATGGAGGGTCCGTCCCCTGCTTTTTCTGGGAGTTTGAGGCTTGCAGTAGAGCGATCAATTTGTCAGGGACTCAGCTCAGACAGATCGCCAAAGAAGCAGGGACTCAGCAGAGGGGATGGGGGCAGATTACTAAGTCCTCGTGTCTGCTCCAACAACCTTCCATTCATTCATTTCTAATCATGTCTTCTCCTTTCATGTCATAGTTTCTTTTCAAATATTTTGTTTGGTTTAATGTCCATTTCTGCACATTGTCTCTTTACTTGGTTTACGTATTTGTTGATATTCTTTCTTTTTTGTTTTGTTTTTGGTTTTTGTTTGTTTGTTTGTTCGTTCGTTTGTTTGTTTGTTTGTTTGTTTGTTTGTTTGTTTGTTTGTTATCGTATTCATTTATTCAGGCCTGCAACGCCTTAGGGACAGATTTAGGGGCTGATCCCCCATTAGTTTCAACAAGTGTTCTCTTTCAAACACCAAACGACTTCCCATTGTTTTTGGTGTCTTTTTGGAAAGAAGGATCCCTGGAAAGGGTGGTGGGAAGCTCAGTGAGGACAAGGGGTTCAAATCGACAAGCCAGCAATCCAAACCGCCAGGGAAGCAGAGTTACCCCTGAAACACCTGTTTGTGGAAAGTGGGAAGCAACCAACCGATAGAGTGTTTGCTGACCAGTGGTGGTCCTGGGGCAACATGACTAGAGTTGTCTCCAAACATCGGCGTGAGCGGTTTTTGTGATATGAGTACTGGAACTGAGTATGGATATACCCATGTGCTGTAACCAGAAGCAATGTTTGCACAATCGTGGACCCCTCTTTTTGTTTGTGTTAAAATGGAAACCCGAAAGGCCACCAGCCATACTGGACACCAACACCCAATTGAGTGGACACCAACACCCATTTGCAACACCTAGGGGAAACCAACACCATAGCAAAAGACCTCTCATGCGGAAACCAACTCCCATAGGGAAGGAAACAACGCCCATGTGGAAGCCCACGCATTTGGACACCAACACCCATTTTAGTGGACACCAACACCCAACACCCATTTCTAAGGGCAAACACCCATTTTTACAATTCATTGTTTTTGGCCCATTTGGAAGGACGCATTCCATTTTCCAGTGGAAACACCCCTTTCTTTACCCCCCCCCCCCCCCTCTTTTTTTGGGCACCACCCACACACCGATGATGGAAACACCCCCTTCTTTACCCATTTTCCTTGGGGACCCCAACAACTGGAACCCAAAACTGGAGAACTCAACACCCGAACACCCATTTTTTTTTGGGACCCGATGCTTCTGAGAACCCTAAGCTGGGCGCTTCCGTTAGGTAAAGTATTATGTACTCACCACTTTTAATTGTTGTTTGAATGATTAGTTTGATATGAATAGTTTTTTTTTTCAGTTTGATATGAATATATATATATACATTAATTTATAGCCTATATTCTATTTGGATTTTCTTCCTCCGGCTCTGACCCATCCTCGAGGACTGCGCGCTCTCGGACTGGGGCGCCTGGGAGCTGTGCTCCGTGTCCTGCGGCACCGGGGCCACCAGCCGCAAGCGCCTGGTGGTGAAGCACGCGGCACCTCGGGCGCTGAGGGCCTGGGATGGATCGAGAAGTCGGGAAATCTCGTGTTTTTTTTTTTTTTTTTTTTTTTTTTTTTTTTTTTTTTTTTTTTTTTTTTTTTTTTTTAAATTCTCTTTTTTTTTCCTTCCTTCTTTTTTTCTTCTTTCTCTTTTTTTCCGGGGCTTCGCTGGTGCTTCCTTGCTGTTCTTGAGGGTTTTGGGTGGCTGTGTTCTTATTTTTCTAGAATTACGGATGGTAGACTGTGTGCCGGGTCTGAGTGTCATGCCAGCCCACATTGGATTAGAAGTAGGTCCGGGTCTGAGGGCCATTCAGATTCAGAGACGCGCAGGTCCGTTGTGGGAGGTTCGGGTTGGCGTGGCTGGGAAGAGAAAGCTCGGAAAGAGTCGGCAAACTTCGGAGCAAAGACGGAAGCCACTTCGAAGGACGTGGACAATCGGAGCCACGGGGTTTGCTGGTGACCGAGTGGGGGACGAGCCCAAGAAAGGGGCCTCCTTCCCTCCTCCATTTCAGTTTCGTCATTTCCCTCAAATTGATTGCGGACAAAAGGGAGTTGTGCCATCCACTTTTGCTCTTTCGTATCTATTGGTCAACATGTCCCGATCCAGATGACCAGACTGGCTGGGCTTAAGGTAGTGGTCGGAGCTTGCCAGTGCGAACCCAGGTCAAGGTGTCGGGTGGGCGTTGATTCACTTGAGGGAATCCCGACTCGGCGAGGCTTACGGCGGCGCAGAGTGCGGAGACGCGGCGGAGTCTCACCCCTGCACTCCCGGGGATGCTTGTGCCTCGGCGAAGGGGGGGAACTCTCAGGGCCGTTCAGGGAGGCTCCAACCTAGTCGGTGACCCAAAAGGCAGCCTGGAGCGAGGTCTGGTAACTGAAGCTTGAGAAATTCCCAGAGGTATCTGTCAATCTACTTAATCGAATCGAATCACCTCATCTACTCTAGTCTACTTTAATCCATCCAATCCAATGCATCTGATCTAGTCTTTCTATTGACGTCTATGAAACAGCTGTTTGTCAAGCCAAGGCCCCGTGGACTGCGTGTGGAGCGACTGGTCGGAGTGGCAGGCGGGGTTGGGTCTGGGTTTCGGGTTTCGGCCCTTGAAGCCACGTGGTGAGCCTGGGACTATGTCAGTGGTAAGCACAAGGCTTCACTCTGCATGGCCAAGCGTAGCCTCTTCCTCCCAAGACTCAGACGGGTTTTGGCCAAACTCTTGGACTTGGCGAAAGGCTCCCTGGGTTGCTCCGACTGACCAAACGTTGGGGTAGACAATCATTGTTCTCGGGTCCCGTTGTTGCTCTTTGGCCCGACCGAACTGACCTTTTGGGAACATGACAGTTCCCCCAGCAACCAAGTAGCTAGCAACAAGTTTCAAACTTTTCTTGGGGGTCCCAGATTTCGCCAGACAATGGCCTCGGTTTCCTGTTGGTTTTCTTTCTGTAGGGATCAGCAACGGATTTGGCCTCGACTGAAAGTCGGACAGCATTCGCCCCCCGAAAAGGCGAAAAAGTCTCAGTCGCGTGCCAGTGACTCCATGGCTATGCCGCTATGAGCGCGGCTATGCCTCCGCTTCCGGGGCCTCCAGGGCCCGAATCCATCCAGGATTCACCATCCTTGTCTTGCTGGTTCTCAGAATGAGAATGGGAATGACCCCTTGCAGACATGTTTGAATTGGTGTCTTTGAAGGCAATCCCCTTCCGGTTCATTCCCAACAATCTAATATCGACATTCTATCAACCATTTTTTGCATTCAAGTTCTCTTCAAAGGGTTGGGTTGCAGGCCATTCTACAGGAAAACAGCTGATTTACAGTGTTTTGGGCCATGTCCTGTAGATTTTTTCCGGTAACCAGACCCTCTGATCATAGGTGTCCTTTTTGGGTGGTTTGCTTAAAAGCAGAAGGCCCTGGTTTACCTGGTTCAATCATCCACCAGGGAAATCCATCTATTTTCCAAAAAGGACACCTACAGTGAAACCCCGGATTAGTACACCCCTGGTTGATTTTGATCGGGTGGTGTCCCCTTTAGTGGTTCGATTCAGACCACTTTTGGAGGGAACACTCCCTATGCCTCCGATCTTTGGGTCTTGGGTCTGCCACGTCGATCCGTTCGGCTCAGGGCTGCGCCACAAGCTGCGGGGACTCCACCAAGAAGCGCCTCCGCGCCTTGCGCCGCATGTCGCATGTCGCCCCAAGACGGGGAAACCAAGCGGGCAGTCGCTGAAAGCTGAAAGGATGTCGAACCTGGGGTTGGCTGACTCTGTACCAGCATCGAAGGATTTGTTTTGGTTGTCCGCGGGGGGGGGAGCGGGGGGAAGCTGAGGTTCCGAAAAATGCCCCAGAACCCGGTCAGATCCAAAGCCTTACAAGCACAGGGATCAAAGGCGAGCTCAGGCGAGCCAGAGGCTTCGGCAGCCTATTCAACTCCAACCGCGGGGGACACATCCAGGCACATCCCATGGCTTAAGGCAGAGGCGCAAGTTCTTCCCCATGGCCACTTGGGGTGAGGTTGGGAGAATCCAGGATAAGCAGTGAGGCCCAGTGGTGGAATGGCGCATTCTCAAGACCTTGCGTTCAGGGTTGGGCGCAGCACCCCTGCAAGGTGCGTCGAAATTTGCACATCCTCCGAAGGGAAACGAAAGGACATCGACCCCCTGCAGGTATCCTTTTTTACACAGCCACATGAAGGGCTCACTTGTTCCTTTGCCAATGGACTCATGGGGATGCAGGGCAAAGACTTGCATTTGTTTTGCCCCATGGCACTGAGGCTGCAACTCCTGCGTCATTCCGAGTCGCAATTCTTTCGGCCTGCCACGTTTTTTTTTTTTTTTCCCTTCCCGTGTTGTTCTTCGCACGCTGCGGAGGATTCGAGCAGATCAAGGCCAACGAGCAGGGCGCCCCCTGCAGCGGGGAATCCGAGCAGGAGATGTCCTGCAGCCGGGAGCCACAGATTGAAAAGGTCCAGCGATGGGAAAACCCCCAGAGGCGAGGCCCTGGCGAGCTCAGAACGTAGGCCCCGGACGGGGAGAGTCCGAAGTTTTCAGGTTTTGGAGCGACAAAAGCCAGCGACAGACCCAACCATAAAGCTCGGTGTGACAAGAAGCCTTTGTAAGTCTTTACATAGTTTTGGGATCTGTAAATTGCGCGTTGTTTTGTTGTTTTGAGGTATGTGTGTAAATATCTGTCTTTTCTGCTGTTCTAATGATTCTCATGCATTCCAGTGTTCACCAACAAAAGCAAACACACAACACTCCTCAGACACTCTTTCCGGAAGTGGCCTGCCACTGGGAGTTGTCCTTTGTTTTCTAGAGATTTTGTTGCTTTCTGGTCTGCCGTAGGGCTGATCCAGTGGATTTACTTTTAATGGATGGACATCCCACTAAACAAAATAGTTAAACATGGAATTTAGAGTTGAACCCTGCTTGCAAACTTAACACGCTGCAACACACTGTGTGTTTGTAGCGTTTTCTGACCATGGTGGTGCTAGGCTAGGTAATAACATTATTTTGGGACCTCTGAGTAATCTTATTATACAATACTTCACATGTTTTGAAAACAAGTTTCACACGGGATTCCTTTCCGATAGAAATTTATTTATACATCAGGTACCTGCTAGCACAACTTATTCAAGCTTTGGACCCGTGCATTTTCTTATACATGTTTGCTTAGTATCTTTATGAAACAATGCTCAGTTTCTAGCTGAATCTAAATAGAATTCAAAAAGGAAACTCCAATAATTGATACCTTATGCTAAGATTATAATTTAGATGAACAAGTTCTCTATTTCAAATTAAATTTTACGCATGATTTCCTTTCCATTGTTTCTTTCTTGCACATCAGTTCACATTTCAGCTCAATTTATTCAACCGAGGTCCAGACAAGCAAACCGAGTGCAAACAGCAAATACAGACTTGCACCTTGACTATGACTCAGGAAAGAAGAGGCGGTTTCCAGAATAAAGGGAATCCCAACCCAGCCGATAAATGCCCTGCTTGATTGATAGGGGGTGCTTCCCCGGGACACACCTATTCAACGAGGGATGTCGCAATCCTCCCTGCAAAGGGACCCTTTCCACAAGAAAGGGGGGTCGGCTTCCTATGCTTCCTAGTCTCCTTGTAGTTTCGCTTCGCATCCGCAATCCCTACAAATGAGGTCATGAAATCGTGACGTCCTGTTCCAGGCCCTGTATTTCTCTTTTTGGGTCATTCGTACATGGGGTATGCTGTTTTCATTTTGGTTTCCCACGGCAAGCCAAAAAAGGCTACCCTCAACGCACCCACATCACCTTTTGGTTGACTTGAGAGCCGGGGCATCCAAGAGCGGCCTCAGAACTCCGAAAAGGCGCGAACAGTCTGGGTGTTCGAAGCTTTGGGAACCAATTTGCATGAAGTTTTGTTTGGGCCCTGGACTCGAGTGGCTAAAGGGCTCCCTGAAGGCTTCCACCTGCAGTGTCGCTGGGAGTTGTGCTGTCGGGTTAAAATGAGTCTAGCTTCGCCCGTTTGTTCAAACTAGTGGGATCGCCCAACCCTCTCACCCTTCCAAAAGCAACTCTCTGAAAGAAGCCTTTCTGAAAACGTCTTTCCCTGGAAACTGGATATACACATGTTGAGCCGATTGCAGGGAGCGCATTCCTCTGCCGCATAAGCGCTACCTTTCACGGGGCTCACAAGGCCTGGGAATGTGTCCAAGTTGGGGCGAGGCATCGCCCCACATCATGGTCTTCCCTTCCGCTTCCCTCTAAAGCAACCCGACAAGCCTTACCCACTGAAACACACGCCCTTGAATTGCCATTTGGACCAACTCATATTTAGGTGACCGCATTCAGAACCCAAAGTAGGCCTTTCCCCGTCTAACCAACCCGTCCGTTCGTTTCGGCGAGGCCAGCCCGCCTGCCCGGTGGACTGCGCCCTGGGGGAGTGGCTGGAATGGAATGTGTGCAGCGTCTCCTGCGGCCCAGGCACGGACCATTTGGCATTTTTCGCCGGAAGTGGCGGATGCTTTTTTTTTTTTGCATGGCAGAAGAAAGAAGAGAAAGCAACTCGCATCATCATTTGGACTCCAATCAGCTTGAAAGTCAAGGCAGCTCGAAGCTTTTCAGCCATTCAGCTCGAAGCAACTCAACGCAGGTCACCTGAACTTGAACCTTGAGGCAACTCAAACCAAGCCTGGATACACCCAGGTGCCCTCTCGCCCGACCCAAATGAACGCAAGTCAACGGAAGGAGCTCCAGAAAACCGAATCATTTGCTGCGGACCTTTCCGGAGGGGCGGTTCTACAGCAATTTGCAGGGGAATAGACGCTTTGGGAAGATCATGAAACGCGTGTGGTCACTTTTTCGAATGAATGCAGTCACTTGAGACATAGGACATCTTTCTTGGGGGCCATTCCCCCCAAGCCCGAGAACCGGTTTGGGGCAATTGGCCACCACTTCTTGCGTGTTGATGAGCTTCCCTGCAAAGCAGCACGCCTTTTTTTGTGGCCATGTTTCTGGGGTCGTTCTTAACACATGTCTCATTTTGAGGTTCACTGCATATGGGCCGAAGTCACACATCCGATTTTTGTTGGCGGATCCCTAAAGCTTTTTCCGGTGTGTTCTCAGAGGCTCCGGTCACCGCCTGCGTCTGGCAGGCATCACCGAGAGGACCCGGGCCATCACCCTGCCGCCCCAAAATGGCGGCAAGGAGTGTGACGCCCAGGTGGGACCACTCGGTGGGGATTGGATAGGGTTGCTCAGTGAAATGGCCATGGGTTGCATAACCTATGGCGATCCCATTTTGGGGTGGATGAGCACCCATTTGCCACCTATTTTGATGTTCACCAGGGGTACAGGGTTTTGACTCACAGCCAAGTCTCTTTCGAAAAGTCCTTTTATGAATGTAAACCGCTGATCAACAGTCTCTTCTCAGCTCGAACGACCCTCTAGCGACACCCGGGCTTGTTGTTTCCGGAGCGGACTTTCCGGCCAGACCGATAGAACCTGGGTGGGGCAAAATATGGTTTAAGCACCACCTTTACAAGGGAAGACTCATCATAACCAGTGGTTTAAACATGTTTAAATGGGTGGCCCCACCCTAGATGGAACACAGTGACTTCCCAGTAACGGGTACCATGTTCCTCGTCGGGACTCTGGTTGGCGTTTGGGTTGGCGCTGACGGAACCGAGTCGGATGCGGCGTAGCTATGGCTAGGTCCCCCAGCTAGGTGCCCTTTTACCAACTTTTTTTTGGGGAGGGTTCCCCTACTAAAATAGTTCTTTTTTTTCTTTTTTTTGCTTATTCTGACTTGTCTACGGGGGACCTAGATGGGACGCCCATTCTTGTTGCCAATGGATACAGCTCGGCTTCCAAGTTGCAGCCACCTTGCAAGACGGGAGGACGGTAGGACACGATCAGCTTCAAGAGGCTTTGAAGGCACAGCGACTGAGAAGTTTTGGGCTGAGTTGACAGTGCTCCAGCGTTGGCTGTTTGACGATTCTTACTTTGGCAAAGAGCTAGTTTCATTTTCCCGTGACGGAAGTCAGACCGCCACTTTTGCCTGGCTACTTTGTGCCAGGACCTGCTTTACGAGAAGAAGCTGCTCGACTGCAAGATGAATGACAGGATTTTGCCAGCACAGGGCTCTGCAGGCACAGAGTTTTGCCGGCACAGGAGCGGGCGCTTACTGTTTTGGGGCGCTATGCATGAGTACAACGGACAGGACATGTGGCTGTTCTTGCTTCGTCCGATGTGCCTTTGCCTTTTGGCAGAGGTCAACAACAACTGCTTTTACATCTTTTCAACATGCTGAGTTCCCAACAAGGTCCAATCTGATTGTTTTCCAGAGCCTTAGATTGAAGCCAAAGCTGAGACCCAGAGAACAGCCGTTGGCGTCCAGTTCTGAACCTGCAGGTTCCAAATGGGGAGACCTGAAGGTCCCGAGAGAGGAAGGTACCTGAACATAGGTGTCCTTGTTGGCTTTGCTTGAAAACTAGAGGGCGATTCCTGGTAAACCCGGGTTCAAGCAACTACCAGGGAAACCCATCTACGTTCAACCAAAAAACGCCTATGGACCTGAGCTACGGCCTTGCGAAGTGGGCCTCGTTTTTTTTTTTTTTGCAGTGCTTGGAGCTTTGAACCTTGGCCCCAAGTTACATGTGAACCCTCCGCATGCGTATACCATCTATTGGAAAGGCATGGCATATGCTTTATGAGGGTCACTCGCTGGAGGGTAGGTCTGTGGGTCACTCAGGAGTGAATGAAACCTTGGCCCTATCTTGCATATGATACTTCAACGGAGGTTGGGCCAATGTAGACCTTCATTGCTCTATGACCATCTGGAGTTTCGAACCGAAAGTCGGCTGGGCTCAAACGCTTGTGTGCCACCAGCTAAATGACTTTGCAGATATGCGTTTTTCTCCCAGAGCGAGGTCATTGTTGCGGATGCCAAGGAGGACTGCCCTCCAAGTGATAAAGGAACTAGTCGCATGGATGGCACCCTTCAATCTTCCTTCCCACAGACAGGGGGGCCCATCTTCCATCGCCGTGATCCGACTAGAAAGGAAGATGGGATTCTTAGTATCATTTGGTATCATCTTTAACCCAAATATTCATCCCCAAAGGTGTGAACTGGAAAAATGTTTGCATCCCACAGGTGCCTTCGGGTATCACAGAAACACTCCACCAGGTGGTTCCCACAGTTTCCATCCCGGAATTGCGGGATCACCCGGGGTTTAGCCCCCACTTCTGTGATGTTTGGCGGAATCTCCCCCTTTGTGGGGGGTTCGTCTTGAAGCCCTTTCTGCTGTATTAAAGTGGTTTATGGGGGGTTAGTCTTGAAGCCCTTTCTGTTGGTTTCACAGTTTTTTTTTTCCTGTTCCACAGAAGTGGCCATTTTTTGACCGCCTTTTTTATATCCTTTTCGCCGCCTTCAAGTCGGGATCTTGGGTCGAACCACGCCGAGGTATTGCAGCTTCCCCACCTGCCCCGTGGACTGCGAGTGGCTGGACTGGACTGCCCGGCGCCCAGCGCTGGGTCCGGGGCCGGGTGAAAGGGTGGGGGGTCCCCGGTTTCGGTTTCTTGACTCCAGACAGCTGGGGCCATTATTTTGACTGTTTCTGGGGGTTATCAAAGTCAGAACATGGAATGGTTTTAGGGGCTGACTTTGATCATGGTACAATAATGGGGCCAGTACGGGCTGCTCACAGAGATACAGTGTTCTAGGCCCCCAGCTAGGTGCCCTTTCTCTCCCCTTGTTTGGTTGGGAGATTCGGTTCCCCTACTAAAATAGACTACCGAAAAAAGGGCACCCTTATTCTAACCTCTCTACTGGAGGACCTGGGTGTTTTTGCAATCACAAATCACATCCCCACCAACACCCGCTCTCCAGATTGAAGACACACTCGGTTTGCGGGTTTTGTTGGGCTTTCTCTTGACTTTTTTCCTCACCAAGTGGGGTTTGGCATACCACCGCCGGCCACGCGAGCTGATTTCTGTACTCGCTGCCCATTCTCTGTGATAGCAAGAGCACACCCTTCAAAATGGTAAAATACAGCAAGCACGGGACCGGATTTGGTGTCGCGGAAAGGGATTCTTCCCTATCCATGCATAGGTACCACTTGAGCCATGCTTTCCACCCGTCTCCTTTGCTCAGGAGATCCCAAGGTATTTGCTAGGGTTGACGCAAAGGTCACGAACGCACTGCTGGACTTGCCCTGTGGGGTGAGCCAGAAACAGCTTGGGCCAAACTTGCCAGGTGTTTGGGCCAAAATGCAATGCGATTCCAGGAGTCAGTTTGATAAAACTGGAAGCTGGTCATGGGTTCCATTCCCGTTTCGGGAGTCAGCTACAAAAGTGGCGCAATCAGACATTGGCGGTTTCATCGGCGATCGAAGGTGTTGGCAGTTTGGGCCCCCTCAAATTGTCCCTCGCTAGAGCGAGAAAGTTGATTTGGGGTCTCCTCAGACCTCGCTTTCGTTGCCGCCTCGCTCAAGTACGGTCGGGTCTGATCAGTCAGAGGACGTCGTGGTTCAGCAGGCGGTTGTTGGATCCCTCTAAGTATCACAGCTGGTGACTAGTGACCATATGTGTGTCATCCAGACCTTTGCATGGTTCCCCTGCTCAACACTGGGCAGAGGGGGATCGGGGATGGGCAAAAGGGCTGGGGCCACGGGCCTGGACCACATGGGTATGGTCAAGTCACCCGGGGACCGCAGGTTTTGGTCATTGCAATTTGGGCTCCCAAAAAATGGGTACCGATGTGGCTGTTGTCAAAACCGGTTTGGGATCCCATCTAGGTGAACTCCCCTCCCATTTTAGGCTTCCCATTTCAGTGCTTGGATTGGGTCCCGTTCACGGCTGCGATTCGGTTTTTTTCTTCTTTCCCCACGGCATGGGGTAGACCCTCCAAATCGAGGATTGGAGCGTCTGCACGGTGAGCTGTGCCAGCGGCACCAGCGGCCGGTCCCGGGTGGCTGGGGCCCCAGGCCTTGGGGCCAGGGCCGGGAACGTCGCGGAAAGCCCAGAGGGTTTTTTGGGGGTAGGTTTCTTTTCGGGGGGGGGGGGGGTGTTTTTTAGTGTTTTGTTTTTGGGATCTGTTTTTGCTTTGGGGGGGGGTTGCAGCAAAGGAAACTGGAAACTCGGTGGAGCCAAGGGTTATCCAACAAACCGGAAGGAAGCCGAACTGTGGGACCATGTGCTTCTTTCCTTTCTGGAGGAGTCAGCAGTCAAGCAAATGGTTGATATGAGTTTGCTGAGGGACCCCTTCCACTGGTTGGTCTAGACACGCCCAACTAGAGTTCAACTTTTCTTGGGGGGAAACCAGCAAAATGAACCGGTAGGGGGCCCCTTTTTTTCCTGTTTGCGCGAGCCATGTCTGCGCCTCACCCCAAAGGAACGCCTGTCACAGGGTAGCCCGGATCGGATCCTTCTGGGATCAGAGTTAGATCCTCAGATACCTGCTGCACGAAAGGATCCTTGAAGATGGACCGGTATGGGGTATAAGTCGTTTTCCAGAGGCTGTCGGCTTTCTGGGCAAAAAGGCGCGCGGTTTATTTTTTGACCAGAATGATACGGCTGTGGTTGTCAAAACCGTTTTGGGATCCCATTTTGGTTGGTAGGTGAATTCACCACCCATTTTAGAACCGATTTTAGTGGGGATTGGGATGTTCACTGGGGGTACGGGATTTTGACCCATGTCCATATACCCAAGTGCATGTTTCTGTCATTTTGCGCATCATCTGGGACCGAAGAAGCGCCCAGATTGAGCCCCATGAAATCCCTCACGTAGACAGTCCTCGGGCCTATCAGGTTGGTTGCTCGTGGGTAGGTGCCCCGACCAAGGTGAAGACTGCTTCTGCCTATGGCGGCAAGGTGGGAGAGGGCGGTAACCTTGGGTCTTCTTGCAAAACAATTCTGCGAGACATCAGTTCCTTGGCTGCCCACCATCGCCAGATTCCTGGATCTGTTGACCTGTTTGCTTCAAGATTCAACAAGCACTCTGCCATCCATAGAACTCAGAAGCCAATCTTGTCAGAGGTAAGCCTTTGGAGTATTTCACTGCCATGCGGAACTGCCTTGGCTTTTGCGTTGCTCACCCGGGGATGTTTGTGAGTGCTCCATCTCCAAAGAACCTCCACATGGAAATCTGCAAGTTTTGGCGATGTCCACAAGACCCCGCGAACGCATCTCTGGAGCTATGCAAATTCGGAGCATGTGGCTTGCAGATGATTGACCTTTGGGCCATGCGTTGCGAGGGCGAACTGCCGACTTGGCCCTTCCCTTCCCCTTCTCACGTACATGTATACATATATATATATATAGAAACATATGTATACACCCATAGGTGGGTACTCAAGACAACCGGTTTTGGGAGCGACCACCTCCCCCTCCTCTTCCCGTGGGGCGACTTGATTGCAGGACTGCACCGGGGACACCTCGCAGCAGCGCCAGTGTGACAATGCCGGGGGCCCCTCACTGGCCCACAGCGAATTGATCGATTTGGCCCTTTTGGTTTCCCTTGTTTGGTCCATTTCAGTTTTATGGCCTGAAAGGTGATCACCTTTGATTTCTGGGTTCTTTGGGAAACTGAGCTACACCTGGCCCCCCTTTGGCCCTTAAAAGGGAAACCCCAAAGAAAGAAGTTCTTAAAGGAGAGCGGTTCCAACTTGTTGAAAAGGGGTTGGCCAAACGACAAAGAAACAACGACGGCGCATGGGAACGACACCTTCGACCACGACCCTGAAGAAGCAGGTACAACCATTTTTGCTAGGATTTTCCCAGCTGGCACCGTTGGAAATTCCCAGTTGAGCCACAATCAAAACCCGTGTAGGTGAAGGTTAGTCAGGGGGCAGTCCCAGCCAGACATAGTTGCGGATATCCGCCTAGCAAATCAATTACCAGCTTTTGATCGTGACTGAGTTAAGTGGTGGGTTCTTAACTGTCCCGGGCCAGAAATGGTTCTTCTCTAGGTCCGGCACCCGCAAGTTTCCGGTTGATTCTTTTTCCGTTGGCCGTCGAGCCCTGCACTGTGCCTTTGGAGTTTCGCTTTCACCATGCGAAGGAGAGGTGTCGATGCTCCGTAGCTCTGGTGGACCCTTTGGGATCAGTTTATTTTTTCTTCGGTGCATTGCTGTGCCTCCGGAAAAAAAAGAAAAAGGGAAAAACAAAAGCAAAACAAGGAGCTTCTTATGGCTCCACTGACCCCAGGCGGCACTTAAGGCAAACGAGGCAGGTGCAGCCTGAGTTGATTCCTGCTCCAAGTTTGCTTGCAGCTTTGCGGGGAGACTGGTCAACGAGGACCGCCATAGTCTGCCAGTAGATGTACTTCCCCCCATTCCTTCCAGGGGTCCCTTTTTTCATATGGGCCAGGCACCCAAGACATATTTGGGTGTGTCGACTGTTCGCAGGATACCCATTTTGGATGGTATCAAGGGGAACCCAAATGCCCCTCCCCCGAAGTCGGGTTCCCCTATGTTTTCTCCAAAGAACAATTCTGTCAACTCCACGTAAATCGCCAGTCTCTTGCTTCAGCGGCCATTTGTTTCATTCATACTTCGATTTTGGACTTCCCTTTGTCTTTTCGGGTGCTACTTGATCGCTGTTTGGTCTTTGGTCTGACGCCAGCCATTCACTTTGCGGGCTGCAAATCCATTTCTCACAGGGATCGTGCAAATGATAAAGGCTTGCCTTCTGGTCACTTCCACCACAGATCGCCTCAATTCCCGGATTCGGGTGGCGAAGTCTCCACCTTTCAGGTGCCTTTTGTGACCCCCAAAGTGCTCATTTGTTCAGCGGTTCTCAACAAAACGCCTTTGGGCGTTTCGCCGGTCCATTCAATCCGCTGCAGTTTGGGGCCAGTGGTTTCCCTTCGACCTGTCATTTAGATGGCAAACTTGAAGATGTCACTTGAATGGACCCAGTCTTGGGCGGACTCAACCAGTCCCCTGCGAAGCTGAAGGCTGACTGTCCGGTGGATTGCGTGTGCTGCTCTCAGTCGACTCAGATTTGGTTTGGGCCACTTAGGGGACCAGCCGCTCTCCCCTACCTTGTACCTTGAGGTACATGCATGTGGAAAAGTGTTTTTTTCACGGGCATAGTTCTCAAGCGGACGGCGTGCCTGTTGCCGGTGGATAAAGATCGCAGCCCAATCCATGGCGCGTGCATTCATTTGAAAGCCTAGGGGAAGCCCACAGACCAAATCATCAGCCTGGCATGGGCTTGTGCCTGTTGCAGGGGCCCAACGGAAGGGAAGACGAAAGCTTTCCGCGCGAACCGTCCTGCAGGATTCTTGGAAAGAGGGTATTTTAGGAAACTACACAATTACGCGCGTTCTACGATCATGACGTTTTTTGGGGCTTTATATCTCTCCAGCCACATACAAATAAGGGCTCCGAAAACACCTACCAGGGACGGCGGGTTCCCTCAAACATGAGAATCAGGCAGAAAAATCAACCAGTCCTACGCTTTCCCAACAGGCATGGCGGGCCAACTGTCACTAGGCTCCCGGCTCCCGGCTCCAAATCAATGTCAACATCTGATATATGTTTGTCTATGTCGTATTATGCCGGGATTTTCTTCTGGTTCATTCCCCAAACCCTTGTGGTGGCTCCACTTTTCGAAGCTCAGGTACAGTGACTGGTCAGCGTGGATGAAGTGCAGCGTCACCTGCGGCACAGGCGCGCGAGCGGACGCGTCCGCTAGTGTCGCAGCGTGACCAGTTGACGCCGCGACCAAAGAAGGACACCAGCATGAGGTGAGGGGCAAAGTTGGTCTCAAGAGACCATGGCACCCTCTATGATGAGGATGTTTGAACCACGAAGCAGGTGGATGGCCCAACCCTACCTGTGACTCACTTCTCTGTTGGACTCTGAAGCTTGTGGGAAGATCATGCTGCTGGTAAACAAGTCTGGACTTTTCTTCCCAATCCACTCAGGAAGTGAGATGATGAAGCTTTTTGATTTGGGAACCGCTGATTTCAATTGATTTGACATGCATTCAACCACTACTGCAATCCTGACGTCGAATTTCCCTGGCCAGGTGATCTTGTGCGATCAAAAATCTCTTCAACCAAGTCGAATTGCCTTTGCTACCCGAGACCTGCCGTTGGTTATTTGTAGCTGATACCAGAAGGCCCTGCGCGCAGGCAACCAGGAGAGAGAGCGGGTCATCAGGAAGGAGCCCAAGAACGGCGGGAAGACCTGCCTAGGCGGGGGTGGGTTACCCGCACTCCGCCGGAGAATTCTGGGCTCAGAGGCCATGGCTGGCAGACGGCTTCCAAGGCCATGGCTGCCCTTCCCCACCCAGACCCTAGGGGTTGTTTTTACCACTCCAGATGGGTCGTTTTCCCTTGGTTTCTCCCCCCGCCCCCCGAAATGGCAAAACGGTACGGGTCTCAAAATAACGCCCAAGGAATGCCTGTACGGCCTTTCCTTGTTCAATGAGTGGCCTGAGCATTCCAGTATACAGTGATTAAAGGGTTACCTGCAAAACAGGTAAATGGATCCACTGTGTATGAAGATCCGACTGCTTCGGCTTGAAGTCGCACCGTTGCAGCTTGCTTTATATATAGGTTTCGTCAACATTCCAGTTTACTATGGTCCATTTTGGAGGCCCCAACACAACACCAGGGGGCTTTACTAACTGTACCATGTTCTTTAGCCACCCCTCAAAAGTGGTTGAAGGTAAACCCCCAGCATTCCCCAGCAAAGTTGTTGCTTTCGTTGGTTTTTCCTTGTGTTCACCCGCCTGGCAGAGGGGAACACAGACCACACATTGCGGTCACGAAAGGAGACCTGGTGGACAACCAGGCGTGCACTGAGAAGCCCTGCCCCATCGACTGCGCCTTGCAGGCTGGGGGGGGCGGGGCTGGGGGGGTGGGGCTGGGGGGGTGGGGCTGGAGGGGGGGTGGGGCTGGAGGGGGGGTGGGGCGGGGCGGGTGGGGCGGGGCAGGTGGGGGGGGTGGGGTGAGGTGGTCCTTTTCCTTGGGCCCCAAAGAGATTTTGAGTTGATTTGTTTGCTCTCAACGTTGGTTTTGGGCTGGTGGTTGCTCTTGAAACCGTCCAGAGAGTAATTGTGGCACCTGTTCTAGTAGGTTGGGGCAACACTCGTGCAAGCTGACGATTGGAAGGTGAGGGAAGGCGAAAGCTTCCTTTCCGCTTGGGGGCGTTCTTGTCCACTTCCATGAATATTGGAAAGAGCGTGCTAGGACAATCTTTGTATTTTATTCGTTTTTCCTTGCGTTGACACACCAAGGGTGCACAATCAACTGATGGATTGCAGTCTTTTTCTTGAGGATGCGCTTCCTTTTGCTTGTTTCCGAGAACTCTTGTACCTGCGGCCTCTCGAAGGACCAAAATTCGCATTCGCGCCAGCGCGATTGGAACTTGCTGGCGCAACCCAAGCAGACAGAAGGGTGCGTGGAGGTACAGTGGAAGCCCTAAATATTGTAAGCGCCACCAATGCACATGTTGACACCATTTCTGTGGCATCGCCCGCTGCGTGCGGACCTCTCTCCCCCAGTTACAATGTTGAAGCCAAGCCCGTAACCCGTCTTCCGAGGCCCAATATATTGCAAGTTCAACATTGTATCTGGGGAAGGGGGGCCACAGATATCATGTCACAGTGCTTCCCTTAGTGGACCGTGCCCTTTGTTTTTCTGCTCCGCACTTGCAATATTTAGGGCTTCAACCGTATGTCTCTGAAATCCCGGGCTTTTCTCTCCTTTGGAGGAGGTGCCCTGTCAACGGATCGATACCAACAATCGACCCATCCTATGAACAGGGCGTGTTCAAACCCCCCAATCAAATTTAAGCAGTTCTACGCTCCCATTATCCCAAAGAAAGGGGTTCTACTCCATCCAACGCCGCAAGGAAGGCGCCTTAGCGGTTGACGGGGAGGGGACCCTCCTTGTTGAAGCACCCACAACCCGGGCGTGTTCCATGTCGATTGACAAAAAGTGATTTGAAGGGTGGCGTTTGAAGGTGTAACTACGCATGCGCCTTTCCTCCGAACAGATCCCATGTTGTGGTAGTTTGTTGGAGCAACTGACAAGACGAGCTGGTAGTCTGCTGTTGGTTTTGGGAGGACATGGGGTCGTTTCGCCCAGACCCCAAGTTGCAACCGTGTTTTGAGGGGCAACTTGTCTGGGAATTTTGTCAGGACTGGGAGGAGTGGTCGGCATGTACCAGCTCCTGCGGATCAGGCCTGGTTGGGATGGTTACTCAGGGTTTCCTATATTTTCCCTGAAAGGGAAGTCTTACGTCTTCAGCATCACCTTCCTGGCCAACTTGAAGTGAGGTTCCTTTTATCGATGTTGAAGGCGAAGTATTGGGAGCCCTCTCCAGCGATCGAATTGGTGGAGTCAGGCGGGCAGCTCACTTCCCTTGCAACCTTTTGGGGATATCATTGTAGTGGAGGACAAAAAGTGTTTTTTTTGTTTGGCATGTCTTTTTGTCGGAGCAATCCACTCAAGCGTGACAATTCATGGCAAACATCCATTTCCTTCCAGACCAGCTGATTCACAGCAGAGATGTTTGCAAGCACTCCTTTCGGATCACGATTTTCCCACCAGCGGCTTCTTCATGAATGCCTGCGTGCGCATTTCCTATACCGATTCGGAGCCATAGCAAGGGAGCCGTTGCGGCCTATTGGAGCATGTGAACTTCATTGCTTTGAAGAGGAGAATGGCACGTGCTTGGCTCAACCTGAGCGTTCCAAAGTGCATCTCGGTGCTTACATTTTTTCCTTTTTTTTCTCCGGCTGGTTCAAGAACGACAGCGCTGCTAACACCCAGCAGCTGCTTGGATCCATCTTTGTTGGGCGATTGTCAAGCATTTTCTTCTCCTTGTTTTCATTTTGATTTAAACCCAGTCCAAGCAGGCGTCGCGTGTTTTTTTTTTTGCCACGGGGCTCCGAGGCCAGCACAAGCGGAGCCGCGTCAAGGTGGATGCCCAGTATGGCGGCGAGGCGCGGCGATTTCTGGCCAGAACTTGCTGCGATCGGTGACTAGGTCCCCAGCTTGGTGCCACTCCCTGCCAATCGCATCGATCGCAAGTCTTAGCCTCCTTTGAGTTTCCCTGTAATTCACCTCTTCCAATTACTGCTCATCTTTTTTCTGTAGTCTATTTTAGTAGGGGAACCCTCCCAACCAAAAAAGGAGAATTGGAATGACGAACTGAACCATCCAACTGGTGGATTCCCGAGACCCAAAAAGATACTTGTAAAATTGTAAAGGTTACCCGTGCTTTTTTTTTTCCCCGCGAGAAACGCGCCTCCAATTTGTTGGGTTTTGGGCAAGCTTCCGACAAAAAGGATCCCAAGAATGGAGGGAGAACAGCCAGTGTTTTTTGCCACGGATTTTAACGACCGCATTCCACTCACGGGTCGGTTTCTCGTTTTTGGAAGCCCCCCCATACGACGTTGACATGAGGCTGTTTCTAAATGAGGGAACCTCCCAGACAAAGAGGTTTGCCCTTCAGTACCCAAGAAATGCACCTCAACAAGCATGGCATGCCCACATTGTCAGTCTCTTTGCAAGACCCAAGTGTACCTGAAGAATGACATGTCAAGAGCTCGTACCCTCCCAAATGCTTGGCGAAGCTTCAGGGTTTCTTGACCTAGCATCCTAAGTTCTTTTGTTTTGACGCATATGTCTGGCAGCAGCTTGAACGGCTCAGAACTTTCATTCACGACTTGCCCAGAGCTCAGAAACCAATGCACTTACCTTTGCCGGGTCACATTTCTAGGTGTGTTTTGCTTTTGCCCTTTGACATGACGAAAATAATTGCAACCTGCTGGCAAAGAGCTTTTTAGTAGGTGTTGAAAACACACTTCTTCTGTTTTGTTGGATTCCCACTCAGTTTTTCAGATTCCCTTTCAACGTTTTCATTTTAGCTCTCTTCAGAGGCCTGAGGTCCGCTGTGGGACCCTTTTGGAAGTCCGCGTGATTTGCGGAAAGTATCAAAGTTGATGGCCAAGCCCAGTTGATGTGCCCGTTTTGCGAGTTTGGCCCGTTGCGTGATCGTTGTGATGTGACAGGGACCGACATCTTGGTGCGAACACGGAATGCTCCGAAAAGAACTAAACAGGAGACGAAAAGGCTTATACAACCACAACCGACTAATTGGAGGTTAAGCAGCGACTAATCTAAGGTTTTAACATATTGCCCTCGTCACCAGAGCATTGGTTTACGTCGAGTCGGCGTTTCATAGGAACCCAGAAGCTTTCACTTTGCAACTATGTTGTCGGTGGCATGTTTGGGGCAAGCCTTGGTAGCTTCTTTTTTTCTGCGACCTTTGATTTCAAGAGACGGTTGCTACTTGTGAACAGAGTTTGCGTTTGACCCCTTGAGGAAACAGGCAAACCCCATGAAAGAGGGGTTGAACACTTCCAGGGCATGCATGTTTTTGCCAAGCACGGGTTTGAAAGGAAAATCTTGATTCAGGATCCACAAAAGGCATTATGTTGGATACTTTGCAATCCAGCCCTCTATCTGGTGCCTCTTGTTGACGCGTCGATGTCTTGCTCGTGTTGGGGAGCCCCTTTGGAACCAGACCAAGCTGACCGCCCGAGGTCTGCCAGGTGTAGATTCTGTTTCGGGTGGCCTGTAACCCCGCCTGCAGGGACCTCACCGCTGTCTATGCTTCTTTCGCTTTTGGCTTTTGCGGCTTTTGCGCAGCTAGCATGGATGGTGGCACACCCATGTCCTGCAAAGCCTCCCAATACCCTCCCACCAGCTAACATGGAAGTGCACAGAACCCTGTAGAAAGACTACGGTGGGAGTGTATGTGCTATTAGTTGGTTTGCCTGACTCACAGAACTGCCCCCCGTTTTCCCTCTGGCCTCACACCAGCGGGGTGCCAGGAGTGCAAGGGAAACCTCACGGAGGTGGTGGAGTGCCCATCGCCCGGGCGCCCGAATTGGCTGGCGGTTGCCAGTGGGACCGTTTCATGGCTGGGACACATTTTACATTTTGGCTCATTGTGGTTTTGTGGTTGAAATCCAACCACTTGACTGCTAAAACTTAAATTGTTGCTCCCCTTCCAACGTCAACCAAGGTTTGTCTGTACTCACTCGCGTGGTTGCACTTTTTGCGGCATCATGCGGCCCACGAAGAATGAGTTGGAGGAAGTACTTTTGAAAGGGGGGGCCTGGAAAGGGGCTTGGAAACGCCTACCCCCCGGGGCATGGTCGTTTGATTAAGAAGCGCGCTTTTAGTTTTTTTTCCTCCTGGGTGGGGATTTCATTCAATATGGACCAATAAATGGGCTTCATCAAGGGAATAGAGACAACCTTAGGGATGGATCGAAATCCGACAAGGCAAACTCCAACAAAAGGAAACTCACTTCAAATTGGCAACCTAAAGGTGATGTTTACAACCGGCAAATTCGCCCACATCGGGGATCACTACGTTGATCAAAAGCCGGGGCAAGACAGGGGTCTTGCTTTGGGAAGTTTTGGAGGCGAGGGATCCCGCCTCGGGGACTGAAAAAGGGGTACCCATGTTGGCGCTGGTCGCCTCCAGTTCAAGATGTTTGTAAACCCTATCCTTCACCATTGGGCGGAAATGGCACAACATTTCCCCATCTACCCTGTATCCTACAGTTCTTTTTTCTCCGTCACCTTTGGATAAGCTGAGGTAACTTTCCTCGCATCGGGGCCCGGAGTTTGCGCTCCCTAAAGAGGGGGGCCTCGGATTTTTCGGGCTCAGCACGATGCGCGGCTTCGTGCTTTATCGAGCATCCAGGTATCCAGGTATGGGGTCGCAAGTCTTGGGTATCCAAGTAAGGGATGCTAAGTTGCAACGCCTTTGATCAGACGGTGGATTTTGGTCGCATCTATTCCTCGGTGGTCAAAAAACCTAGGTTTCCTCAGTTCAAATCCAGGGGGGCCGGGGGGACGGAGGGTTAGTTGGAATCCTAGCGGCCTGCACATTTTGACCCATTGGGACGTTTGCCTTTTCCCTTCAAGATATTTGGGGCTCCAAAGAAGCAAGCCCTTCCAAAGCCTATGAGCTTTCAGGTTTGAATCTCGCAAGTGGTTTGAATCTGGGGGCTTCACCTGCTTTGGTTTGGATGTCGATTCCTTTTGCTCTGAGGCTCCCCGAGTGCCCCGAAGATTGTGTCTGGGAGGCGCGACTGCGGGTTGGGGTGTGCCAAGTGGCTTTGCGGGATGAGCCACGTTGGAGCGCTGTTGAAAGTCATCAACTTCTTTCCTTGAAAGTGGACAACGGGGTCCCCCCACAAAGTTGGTCTTCCAAAAGCCTCCTGTCAGCTTTCATGCTAGCGGCAACCAGCAACTTACTATGTAGAGGGTCCCTGCCCAGTGGGGATTGTCATAACTCAGGGGGTTGTTTGGCAGAGGTTCAGATCATTTGAGGGCCTCCGGCCCTGCCTTTAGTCACATTGAAACATCGAAGCCAAGCAACAGGTGATTGCGGGCAAACATATCCATCGCATTCCTTAAGTGCAGGGGGTTGCTCCACGCGACTCTTTGCCACTCGCGTTTCGGAACACATTTTGCAGGTTCACAAAAGGGGATTCGGACCACCTTTTGGTGTCCAAAAAACGAAGCAAAAGTGACACCGAGCAAAAGGGACTAGTTTGAGAACCCTCATTTTTTGTTGTGACATAGTGCAGGGCCTGACGCTAGGCAAACACTAGTCGCAAATTTTCGTGGTTCTCTTGAGGGTACCCTTTTTGGGGCAGTGGTTGAAGCAGAAACCCAGTAGATATTTTTGCCAAGGCGGGAAGGAAATGACTGAATCATGAAACGAAACCACAGGTTTGATAGGTTCCTGCCCCCATTCCCCCGAGCAACCCAGTTGCCGAGGGTTTCAGGTGTTTTGCCTTCTGGAATACAATCAACAGAGGGTATGTCCTTTCATTTCCATGGGCACTTGGACATTGAGAAAGATCAACTCATTGACACACACATGATCTCAAATGGAGGCTTCGAACAACACAGCAACTTGACCTTGGTCTGAAAGGCCAAATCGCCTCACACGTCATTCTCTTAAGATCACTTAGTTTGGTTCTAGAATCCCCACCTCATCCTATTGATTTAGGGCCTCATAGCACCTTTGCATCTGAACCACCGGGTCTGCCTCAAGCCCCAAGAAAGTGCGGTTTCGGCTTTCGTACAGCCCCAACAAGTGTGTCTCTCTTTTGTGTCCGGTCGAATTACAGCGACGTCACAAGGGTTGCGACGTCACCCAAAGTGAAGCTTCCTTCTTTGGGGGTACCTTATTGTCGGGTTGGTGAAATATCGTGGTTTTCAGCCCCAAATCCCTTGAACATATGGTTTTCCCCCTAGAATCACTTGGGTTGTTTGAAGAACCGTCACACAATTTGCCAGCGGTCCGCACAAGCCTTTGCAGGACTGGGCCTTGTGGAGCGACTGTTCAGTCAGCTGCGGCTCTGGGGTGGTCAGCAGGCCATCGGCTTTCGGACGTGCTGGGAGACTCCTCCTGCGACTTGACATATGGCCGTGGGTCAAAACTAGTGGTACCATTTTGGGGTAGGTGCACCACACATTTTAGTCTATTTTAGTGGGGATTGGGATGTTCACTGGGCATACGGGATGTTGACCCATGGCCATATCAAGGTTGATATTTGCTGCTTAGATGTTTTTTATTTGCCGAATTGAAAGGCGGAAATTTTGTGAAAGAGCCTTTGCAGCCTTCAGAGCCTTCATAGTGAAGAACAAATAAGCTTGGAAACAAGCAAATCAATATAAAAAAAACACCAATAAAAAAGCCAAGCTTTCATCGCAACGTGCTGCTTTTCCAGGGGTGGTCTTGGAGGTCCCTTTTGACTGGATGGAACCCTTGTTTGAACGGTTGTGAACGGTTTTGAACGCACACCAAAAAAGGGAAACTCACCGTTTTTGGGGGCATGGAGCCTTAATTCTTAAGGAACTCCAGAACGGTCGGCCGACAAAAGATGGTCAGTTTCCTTTTGGAGGTAGGCGCTTTGGAGACCGCCGGTTCTGGTTTCGATGCAGACTTGAGTAACTTTTTAGCCAACTTTTGCCCTTTGGTGGTTCCTTGTTTCAATTTTGCCAACCAGCTCACTTTTCGCAGGCCGGATCAGTCTGGCCAGCTCCCTTTCAAGCCATGACAAAACGAGAGGCTGGGCCAAACATGAGGCCAGGAGGAAGGGACGCGAGAGTTAACTCGTTCTTTTTTCCCAGCTCAATCTGAGTCGGATTCTTGGGATTCCTTGGAGGAGATCACGCCATCGGGGGTTCTGCGGTGTATTGACCCTCAGGTAGCCCTCAACGAATGGTTTGGATTGGTTGATGAACAAGTCCTGGTCCAGGCACTCGTCCGAATAAGAGCAGTGAAGGACAAACCATACCCTAGTTTCCCACACCGCCGACCACAACTCATCGGAAGTCTCAGCTGAACACTCAGAATGCAGCTAATTGGAGGCTGGACAGTCCCAACCACAAAGAGGTGTGGCCGTTCACATTGCTTTGGTGCATTTTGCTTGGATGTTAGGACTTTAACTTTGTGCCAACTAATGGGTTTTCCATTGAACCACTGAAGGTTAAACTTTTAGCAGGAGCAGAAAGCAACCGAGATTGGGTACACTCCTTGAAGGGCAGTTGAGGACTCAGCTGGTCCGTCAATTGGCGGCCGTGGGTACGTGAGTTGTCCCCGCTCCTTGGCCAGGATGCGCAAGCGCGCGCACTACGAGTCTCACGGCGGCCATGTGTGCTGGGGCACTGAGGACGGCGAGGGAGAGTGCGGAAGTCATGTGGCTGTGGTTGTCAAAACCGTTTTGGGATTCCATTTCGGGGTACGTGCACCACCCATTTGGTCTATTTTAGTGATGTTCACTGGGGTTACAGGATTTTGACCCACAGCCATGTTGAACCCTTGGTGCTTTTGGGCGCTTTCCAGCGAAGATAGAAGGGTTAATGTCCCGTTCTCTTCACCCATCCGGTTGAAACGGCATCCATTTTCGTCTAGTTTATCTTGAGTGCACATTACCCACCATGAAAGGTAGGTTGGTTGGGGAGGGCCTTCATGGGGTGTGAAAGAGTGGATGCATGGGGGGCCTTGGTGCCATCTTTGGCTCAAGGCCCACTAGAGAAAAACAGAAATCTATCTCCCGCTATGCGACCAGTGGAGTGGCTGGTCTTGCGGGAGGCAGTTGAGCTTTGACTGCTGCCACCTCCCCGGGCCAGACCACCTCGGCGCCACTGGAAAGGGGAGGTTGGGGTTGTTCCCGGCGCGGGCGGTTGCCATCAGCGCTGCGACGGGTGTGCTCTGGGAGTCACCCTGACCGGTGCAATGGCAGACCGTGGGAGACGAACAAAGACGGCGCCTCCCATTGACCTGACCCGCCCCTCAAGATCTCCGTTGCCGAGGTCTTCCGCAGTGGCAGGGCATGTGCGGCCCAGGTCGCCTGCCATGCCACCGCGCTTCAGCGCGCAGGCCACTGCCAACATGGTGCCAGAGTTGGAGGTTCTGCTGGATCTGCCAGCTCCAGTCCTGAACGCACTGGGTGCTGAGGGAGTGGAGACTGCCAGTGATCTGGTGGGGCTGTACCCTCACGTCGATGCTTTCCTTGACCACATCAGCTCCACCATGCGCGCGCGGGTGGATGCCGACGCAGCTTTGGAGATGGCTGGTGTCTGGACGCGCATCGCCCGCATGGCTCGAGCGGCCACGAAACATGCTGTGGATGTGATTGCAGCGCACAGGCTGTCCGTGTTCCCTTCACAGCCTTTGACCCCTGCAGAGCCGCAGCAAAACCTGCCCGCATGAAGCACTTGGTGGCGGGTGGCTCTGGGCAGTCCCTGCCCACCACAATTGTTGAGGGCCAAGACGCGAAGATGGTCAAGGATGAGGCTGTCAAGCAGAACAAGCTGGATTTGCTTTTCCATATCTTGCTGGAGTATGTCATCGACCTGGCCGAGCTTGGCGTCCAAGAGCAGGCACGGCGCCAGCCGTTTGTCGACGCAGCGAATTGGTTCCCTGTTAGCAGCTTCCGCCGATGGGCCCGACACTGCCAGACAAAAGGGTGGAACCTGCAGAGCCCCAAGCCGTTCGAACTGGCCTCCTTCTTGCGCTCTGTGAGCCAAGGGGGGCCTACGGCGGCGGCCAGCATGCGCGCCGCATTGAAATGGTTTGCATGCCACGCTGGGGCCAAGTTTGACATGGATCACCACTTGGTAGCTCCTTACCGTTTCCACTCCGGGACCCACACCAGCGCCCAAGCTCCAGAGCTGCAACCTTGGGAGCTTGTCAACTTGCTGTTGCTGACTTCGAGAGCCCAAAGCACCCACACTTCTTTTGGCGTGGATTGTGCAGTCAGCCATTGCTTGTGTCCGGTGGGAACACATCCAGCGATCTACCTTCCTCCAACACCACGGCAGGTGGACTGAGTTCCGCTGCTCCCAAGGGAAGAGCCGCAAGCAGGGAGCCCGCCCTGCTTACCACTGGGCGCTCCCCGCCCTAAGGTGGCAGGGCATGTGTGTGGGGGCAATGTTGTCTGTTTTTTACACGCACGAGGTTTTCCGGGTTTCTGGTGCCTGCCGTGGCCCTCAGCGCCGAAGATCTCTGGGAGGTCACGGACGCGACGGCCCTTGTCTTGGACAGAGCCATGTCTCGTGGCCGTTTTCTTGGGTTCTTTGATGCAGTGCGGAGTGATCACGAGGAGCCACCTACAACCGCTTGCGGCGGTTCATGCCAACCCTTGGCAACATCCTAGAGGTGTCTGACCATGAAGCGCAGGCGATCGGAAACTGGACCGAGAATCCTCAAGGCGGCTTGGGGGCAAGGCCAAGGGCGTGTGCCACCATGGGCATGCACTACGCGGGCTTCAAAACTCTGCGCTCGGCCCAGATCAAGGTGAAGCTTGTCGAACGGTTCCTGCAGCTTTGGAAGATCAAGGCCAAGGATGTGGCCCTCACACCTGAAGGGCTGCTGCCGGCCCATTCTTGGACATGGCCCGAGCTTGCTTTGCTGCATCAGCGAACACCTTGGGATTCTGCTGACCCAGAGTTGAAAGCCCCGGATGGTGCTGACGTTCCAGAAGAGCCTGCTGCTGACAGGGCTGTCCCGGAGTTGACTGCTGCTCCGTCGGGGAGCCAGCCTGCAGCTGAGCACGCTGCTGAGGATTCCTCCAGCTCAGCGTCAGACCAGTCGGCGGACGGGGCCGACTTGGAAGGCATCATGGCGGACCCTTCGGCTGCGGAGTTTGCGGCTTGGTTCAAGGAGCCAAGACCCACATTGTGAGTGAGCGGACTGAAGAAGGCCGACTGGTGCCCTACTGCCATGACTTGCCCTTTGCCCAAGACCCGCCGTGGCGAGGGGTTCGTTCGGGATGGCCTGCATTTGTCAGCGCTGCCTGTCCCGCATGCCTCGCGGCCTGTACTTAGCTTTAGCTGAACATTGTGGATGGACGGTTTGACAGGCAGTAACGTGCATCATGAGGAAAGGTGAAAAAGAGGGGTGGCTGTGAGAAGGTGTGGGCTTGCCCCACTTGTCCCCCCTGCCACCTTTGTCCCCGTTCATAGCGTGGCCTCCTTTTCTATATTTTCAGGGGTGTCACCTGGTTCACTTTGCTGACCGGTCCACTCTTGAGTTGTTTCCTGGCTGAGAGTTTTTCTTGGCTTCAAGCCAACTTCCGTGATCGCCATGAGCCGCATTGACGTGTTGGCTGATGACCGTGGCCTGCAGGCTTGTTTCACAGTCGCCAATGTGAAGCCTGAGTGGGCCAAGGACTTCATTGCCAAGCGCAGCCTTGGCACCTTGGACGACCTGGTGTACATGGTTGCCCATGGCACATGGGAGAAAGAGTTGGAGGACCTGACCAAGGAAGTGGCGTCCATCAGCGGCAATCGCATTGCTTTGGCTCGGATCCGATCTGCCTTCGAGATGGGTCGCGAGGCGTTGAAGCAGGCTGCTGTGCCAGCGGAGAGCACCATTAAGGCACTAAACGCTGACTGGACCAAAAGATACAACTTGACCCTGGAACCCACCTTGGAACCCAGCGAGGCTTTGCGTAGCCGCCTTTACCGGGAGTTCCGCAAGGGCCAGCTCACAGTCATCGAGGCCAGGAAGGTGAAGAGTGTCATCTCCCTTGCTGTTCCCAAGGCCCACGAGTCCGTCACCATTGGTCACAGCATCCATTTGGAATTTGACAAGGAAGTCGGTGTGGCCATAAATAAAGTCTGCAGTGGACTACTACTGGCAGCTGCGGATCTTGGCCCATGGCTGGGCCTGGGCTGGCAACTACCAGGTCAACCACGAAGGAAGCCAACATTGGATGATGGACTTGTCCACTGCGTTGAGCTACGCGGACGCCAGCCTCAAGGACTGCGTGGAGTTCGGAGGAGGCAGCCTGATGTGGCTGCAGCGGAACGACATTTTGACGCGGGGAAAGATGGCCACGTATGTCAGGCGTGGCCAGCCGGGCACTGTTGCGCTCAAGCAGGCCTTGCGCGAGTGCCACCTGGAGTGGCGTTCGCCCGCAGTCACTGCTCGCGCTGCGCCTGTATCCAGCAGGGCAGCCTCGCCCACCAAGCGCCGGGCGGAGTCGTCAATGGAGGAGGCCGCTCTGAGGAAGCGGCGCATCAAAGCCGACAACTTTCGCACCGTCTCCATGGTCAAGGGGGGCAAGAAGATTTGCAAGAGCTATAACGATGGCCGAGGCTGCAGCAACACCAGGTGTGACGCCATTCACGGCTGCGATGTGCGCCTCGATTCTGGCAAAGCTTGCCTTTCCAAGACTCACACTCGGCTCCAACACGATGCTGATGAGTAGGGACAGCTCCCCCGTGGGCCTGGGGCCCCGGGGGGGCAGTTTCAGCTGAAACGGCAATTTCAGGGCATCGCCGGAAAATGCGGCTCTGTCCCTGGCCCACCGCGTTTGGCAAACTTTGGTAGCGGGCCAACTGTTGGGCCGACCAGCTGCAGGCCGCCAGGCCCGTTTGCTGGCGAGGCGCAGGCGATCTGCCCCAGATGGCTTGGGCAACGCCGATGGTCGGCACATGGACCTTTGGGCTGGGATCAGCGGGATGTGCGTCGCTCTGCTCAGCATGGGGGTGCGCTTCTATGCTGTGGCAGCTGAGTGTGACTGGCTTTCCTCTCAGGTTGTGGAAAAGAACCTTCCGCACGGTGTCCGAGTGCCTGATGTGAGGACATTTGCGGTGCCGATTTTCAACCCTTTCTCCAACGCCGTCAAGTGCGAGGCATTATCATCAGCGGCGGTTCACCACGTCAAGGAAGTTCTGCCTTGAACCTTCGGCAAAAGCTGCGCAGCTGGTGCGCATTCGTGCTGAGCTTGAAGAGCTGCCTGAGTGTGCCAGCCTGGAGATTGTTTCGTTTTTAGAAAACATAGCCTCCATGCCCAAGGAGGTTCAACAGCAGTACACTTCATGGATGGGTGCGCGCCAATCTTGGTTGCTGCAGCCACGTGTGGTTGGGTCCAACGGCGGCGTTTCTTGGTTGGGTCCAACGGCGGCGTTTCTTGTGGCTTCGCCTGCGGGATGGGTCTGGGTACCCTCCTCAAATGCCTCAGATGGAGTTGCAGAGCTTCGGTACATAGGACCCAAGCCAGTCCCCGCCAAGGTCCACTTTGCGCAAGGTTTTCACCCTGTGTTTGATCTGGCTGAAGTCGTCAAGGAACACGGTCGAGGCGCAATACGCTCTTTCACTCGAGAGTTCTACCGCCGACTGACCAAGCCGAGTTGGTGGTTCCTGAGGCAGCGGCGCGGTTTTTCCAGGATGACCGGCGGTTCCCGCCTTCTGCGTACACTGTGGAAAGTCTTCTCTGGAAAGACAATGGGAGAGATGCCAGATGATGGGATTTCCGGCTCAGTGCCTGAGGCATGTAGCAGGACCAGCGGCGGTGCAGCGACAACGGCAGAACTCCTTGGTTGGCAAAGGGTTTCACTTGCCCATGATTCTGGCCTTGTTTGCAATGCTGCCCCAGATCTTGGATGCCAAGATCCGGCCTCCAATGCTGGACTTGCAGGAGGTTGCCCTGAAAGAGCGGCTGTGTGGCACAATCGCTTGGAGGCATCCCCTGGTCTGCTGGATCCTTCGGAGGTTGTGACTGGGATCCAATCTCTGTTGCAAGCTTTTGCAGTGCCAGATTCCACTTGGGTCCAAGTGCGGCAGGGCCTGTGCTGCGCTCCCCTCCATCTCCTCCAAGCTTACACAGTGTGGGCTCGGGGACATGGTTTGGACACTGCCCACCTTAAACCTTGTCCGTTGGGTTCGCAACACCGGGCTGACATCTATGCTGGCCTCAGTGACTCCAAGCGAGGGCTTGACCACCTGCTCCCACCTGGGCTTGGCAAGGAGGCGCACATCCAGGCTGCCCTCCAGTTACCCTCTCCGTTCCACATGAGACCGTGGCCTGAGAAGGATGTGGATTTTGTTCTCCATGCCATTGCTGTGTGGCAGCTGACTCGGTACAGATGCCAAAGTGCTCAACAAGTGGCCACGACCAAGAAACCAGCTTTTGTGGCTTTCTTGACAGTCATCTTGCATTGGCCCGACTGGCAGCAGCCAGCCCAACTTCTGCAGGGCTACCCCATTGTGGGCCCTGTGGATCCCAGCGGCGTGTTCAGGCATGTCTCTGCCCAGGACACTCGACCACTTGATGAGTGGCTGGGGGAAGCAGCTGTTGCGGCTGTCAATTCTATTGAAGAGCGCGGCCCCCTCGTCATCATAAAACCATTTACGACCTGACACTTGAAGAGCAGGAGAAAAAGTTCTGCAGTCCTTTTCTGACTCGCAGTGAAGTGGATGCCAGGTTCGGACGTGGCCAATGGCGACCGCTGGAGAGGTTTCTCATTGTCCAGCCGGATGGCGAACGACGAATGATCAACGCCCGGAGGACGCTGCACAACGAGTTCACCGCCATGTTTGAGACAATTTTTACGGTTTCTGTCGACTTCATCCCCGCAGTCATCAAACAGTTGGCTCGCAGAATGGGCGCGTCGTGCCCTCAAGCTTGGGGAGAGCAGTGCCCGTGGCTTCATTTTTGCCTAGGCACGGATGACCTCCCGGACGCTTACAGAGGTCTCCCGGTCTTGGATGAGCGCTTGCCTTTCTCCGTTGTGGCCATTTGGGTGCCCCACCGCGGTTGGCGCTACACCGTCCTGTGGGGCCTGGCCTTCGGTCTGGAAAGCGCTGTGGTGGCCTTCAACCGTTTCCCGCAGCTCGGAGTGGCAGCTGCCCGGCGATGTACCTATGCTCTGGCCGCGGCCTATTTCGATGACGAGCTCTCGGTGGAGACCGTGCTTGACGCCAACATTTCGCAGCGAGGGCTTTTCTTGCTCTTCACTGGGTGCTCCACCACAGCCGCCGAAGAGTTTCAGCCCGGCGCCCGACCGCCACTACTTGGGAGCCTCTGTTCACTTGGGCGATGTCTTGGACAGTGGTGCAGTGCGCATACAGCCCAAGTTTGCCACCACAGCTAAAGTCTTGACCAAGCTTGACAGTATCTTAACAGAAGCTGTGTTCCCACGGGACTTGGCAGGCAAACTTCGGGGTGACCTGACCTGGATGTTCACAATGGTTTCCGGTCACATGGGGCGTCTGGCGCAGCCTATCATAACCAAGTACCAGCATGCTGCCAATGAGAGCCTGCAAGACTGCGATCGGCTCACTCTGCAATTGCTGGCTTTGGTTGTTCGGGACCACAGTCCGCGCACTGTCACAGTTTGCGGCCCGGAGCGTCGACCTCTGGTGATCTATTCCGATGCCTCCTTCGAAAAAGGCTCTTTGCGGCTTGGATGGGTGGTGATGGACCCGGACCAAAGTTTTTCCCCTGTGGGTGGTACCTGTGTTGTCCCCCCAGAGGTGTTGAACAGCTGGGTACCCCGCCATCAACAGATTCTTCCAGGGGAGACACTTTGTGGTTTGCTTCTCCCTGTTCTGCATCCAGATTTGCTACGACTGCGCGATTTGTTGTGGTTTGTAGACAACGAGGCCGCTACTTCTGCATTGATTAGAGGAGCCAGTTCTCAGGAAGACGTGCATGAGATTGCGCAATACGCGCAGTATTTGTTGCACACACTCCAAGCCCGAGCTTGGATTGAGTGGATTGATAGTGGTTCTAACCCTTCAGATGGCTTGTCTCGCCACGGGGTCTGCGACCTATGGAGCACGCAGCAGGGCTGGACTATTGCTTCTTATGACTTTCCTCAGGGACTGAGTCGCGGGGCCTTAGATCAGACACTAGCTCGTGCCCATAATGCTTGAACAGTGGGTGTGTTGAAGACAGTGGGTGTGTTGTGTTCAGGCTGGGCTGACCCGTCTAACCAATTTACAGATGTGTGTGGCTTCCTTTCCCCACCATCTGATACGTTACCCATTGTTATTTTCATAACAGTGTGGACACTGCCAAGCGCCATGTCACGAACCAGACTGGCGTTGCAAGACCCTACATTCCCTGAGCAGAGCATAAAAGAGAAAGCCTCAGCGTGCTGCCTCTCTTTCTTAATTCATCTAGCCGGCAGTCTAGCCGGGGTGGTGTACCCCTTAGCGTGTCCGCAACCAATTCCTCTAGGCACCGAAACGCACCGGCAGGACGACATCGCGGCCTGCGAGTTGGACCCTTGTCCGCTGGACTGCATCCTGGAGGAGCGAGCGGGATTTCCAATGCAAGACCTGATCCGTTCAAGTGAACATCTTGCGAAGTTCTCATATCAAATTTGCTTTTGGGGGTTGTCTAGGTCCCCCAGTAGTGCCCTTTCTCACCCCTTCTTTGCGGGAGGGCTCCCCTACTAAAACAGACTACAGAAAAAAGGGTACCCTTGTTCTCACCTCTCTACTGGATTTCCCTGTAACCCACCATTTGGGTAATTGTGAGGATATCACTTTGGACATAGACTAAACAGCACCTTCTGCTTTTAAGCTGTAGCCATGGTAAGGGAACTAACCCCAGGTACCCAATTGTAACCATGGTGGGATGCCCACTTACCTGATGCAGCTTGCAAATCCAAGCTGAGCTCGTGGGCTTCAGAGTTTCACCATTGGGAAACTCTTGTTTCCCACTGGACAGACTCTGAGCCTTCAACAGGTTCTATCCATTCATCCAGGAATCCCAGATTCATCTATCCCAGCCAAAATATTGGATAGAACAGTGTCCTCACAATTTTTGGGTAGAACTGTTTAGTCTACGTCCAAAGTGGGCGCAGGGTTTGGTTTCTCTGTGTATTCTCCATCGCCGAACACTTCGACTGGGAGATCAGGACTGGGCTGCCTGGTCCGGCTGCCACTTGGCTCAGAGTGTAGCACCTGCTTCTTGCGGGCGAAGAAGCTTGGAACTGGGGAGAGGCTTAACTTCTTGAAGCTTAGAACTGGGGGAGGCTTCACTCGAAAGTTGGTAGGGCAAGGGTTTTCTGCCTTCCTTTCAACTCGGGTGGTTTTGGGATTGGATGGAGTACAGACTTCCCTGGGCCACACGGCGGCGGAGTCTTCTTCTTTTGGCGCTGTCCAGGAAGAACAGCAACCAAACAGGGGCAAGCGGGAGAAACCGCTGGGCAGTAAGAGGGGGGGGGGTTGGCGGGTCAAATGTGACACTCGAAATTTGCTATGCGCTTATGGACATGGGTAGAGAGTCCACCAGTTTCTGTGGGAACATGAGACAGTTTTCCATGTATCCACCAAATTTGACTAGCAACTATTGGGCATTTAGGCAGAGCTTACCCTGAATGGATTCGAATATAGGCTGTGAGGTGATGCAACTAAAAACGTATGGCCCAGGAGAAGGGACCCTTTGTCAGGTGGTAGGTTAGTGGGAAAGGCACGCCAGAGTCGACCTTGTGAATTTCTGGCGAAGCGCCGTTTGACTTTTGACTGTTGCAGACCATGTTTTGTTACTTTGGGTCATGAAGCAGGTTGCTCCTGAATGTGTCTCCAAGTCTGGTCTATTCACTACAGCCAAAAAAGGGTACCATCACACAAGGCGTCACACCCACATGGCTGGGGGTCAAAACCAATGGTACCATTTTGGGGTAGGTGCACCACCCATTTTAGTCTATTTTAGTGGGGATTGGCATGCTCACTGGGGGTACGGGATTTTGACCCATGCCATATGAGTGCAAGCAGCGGATTCTCCCTGAGGGCAAATAGTTGCCCTGCCATAGTATGTTTTTTCTTTAAGGGTTGGATTGGTTTCAAAGCGAAGCTGAGGGAATCGAAAAGTGTTCAGGGTCCACTTCGCCTGAGGCATTGCTTAGCAGCCATTTCGAGGGTTTGGCTCCACTGACAGGCACACCCGCTAAAACCCTGTTTCTCTTTTTGGGTGGTGCAACCATCTTTAGCGCCAGCTTTTATCGAGCTTCTCGGGGCGGGGTCATATGTGCGGTCGGTCTTGTCATGAAACCTTGACTGGGGTCTTTTGACGACCATTGAATGAGTTCCTACGGGGAACCACAAGCTTGACCTACAATCTCAGAGTTTTTGAAGAGTTTGTGACCACGCTCGTATGGGTTTGTTGTTTTTAAAAAGGTCGGGGTAGTCCTTTTTTTTCCCGGGTTGTCTTCAAGGGAAACCAAAGGCGACCCCCTCCAACGGGACCTGTCGCGGCCAGCAACTTGTGAGGCTTTGCCTCACAAGGGGGAACGGGGAGGGGGAACCCATCGAAAGGGGTTTGTTGATAAAGGTTACCCATAGAAAGGGGTTTAGAAGGTTCGTATCGTTGTATTGTTTACCATCTTTTGAATGAATCTTTTGAACGTGCAAACATATTCATGCCTCGATTCCTCGATGCGGACTGAAAATAGTTCGCCGGCGTCAGGCTCCAGCAGCTGCGGCAACGGCACCCACACCCGGAGCCGGTCTCTGACCTTTGCGGCCTACGGGGGAAAGGAGACTTCTGGTTGGGGGGCGGGTGGACCGTAGATGCCCAAAAGAGAGGGGAGAGGGAAAGGGAGAGGGAAAGGGAGAGGGAGGGAGGGGGAGGGAGGGGGGGGAGGGCCCCTGAGCCCGCTGAAAACCCGCATCAAAGGTAGATGGTGAGAAGTATGGGCATCACTGAGCCTTGTTCAAGTAAATGGCCAAGATGGGGGGAAAGATAAGAAACAAGGCTGGGTAGAGTCCGTACGGGGATCCTTTTTTGCCTTGGAAGGGGAACCATTTTCCGTTGAGTGAAGCTCACCTCTGTTTTGACCATGAGCTGATCGATACAGTTTTTCTTTTGTTGCACCCTGCTGACTAATTCACCATTCACTGTCCAATCCGCTTACGCATTCACCATTCGGTGCTCCGAGGATTTGACAGACAAATAGACAAGGGTAGGACAATGGTGTGGCTATGCGTTTTACTGGGGAACCACTTCACACGTGGTTGGTGGACATGAATCCCGACCGAAGTCTGATGCCCACCCAAGGGTCCCCGTATTGGGTCCGCTTGTTGCCTTGCTGGTCTCAAATTTCTAGTCTTCAGATCGATTTGTCATGGGAGCACTCCTGCGCTTGCGATCCACAAGGTGTTCCAATTCGTCCATGAGGGCAACCAGATATATTTTTGACGTGGCTCATGTGGGTGACCTGGCAGCTTGCCAGTGAGGTGGAGCGGACGAGCATATCAGTTGGTCATGGGTCAATTACATAGCCATAGGCCATAGGTGCCCATGATGTGTGCACTTGGGGGAAGGGCCCGCTCCAACTCTACATGACTAGGGTCGCCCTACAAGGGACCACTCAAATGATTCTTCGACAGTTCTCTTTGGGGACTGCACGCGTCGCAGTGCACTGCATAATGTGCTTGGCTGTTTTGTTCGCGTCTCCATTGGCTCAAACCAAGCCCTGTTTGGGCAAGAGGGTCTCGACCCTTCCGGTTTGGAACAGCGAGAGAGGTCTCAAGGGAGAAAACCCTGCGGAAGTGCGGAAGTCGCAGTTCAGTCTAGCCTCTCTCGCTGTGTAGGACGCACATCTATCGACTCGCTGCTGGATACCCCTGGAAAACACGGAACGGTGACCTTGCAGACACAGGAGAAAGGATCCATGGGGATGCCACCAATCTGTGCTGACCAGCAGTGTTTGGGATTCAACTGTTCACGGATTTACGCGGAAGGTAAACCTTGAGATGCCAAATTGCGAGAAAAATAAATTATCGGGTTCCGCCTGTGTGCCAGGGAGTCAGCTCAAAAGGCAAAAGGGAGCTGATCCACTCTCTCGTCGGATCCCACTCAGTATCCTTCAGGGTTCATCAGGGCTCCTTAAAAGATACATTTTGCAACCGTTTGAAACATGTCGCTTTTTCCACCAGAACAAAGGAAAACCACCATTTACAAGGCAATATTCAGGTGTATAATGTAAGGATCCCTGTGGAGTATCCCCATGCAGTTACTCTTTCTTGCAGTACCCCCAAGGCAATGTTCATGAAGCATCTGGGTGACCCGCCGTTTGGGGCGTATCCAGTGGCTGCTCTGTCGATCGGTTGGTCGACTGTTGGGAATGGGCTGCGCCGCGTCCGGCACTGCACTCGGCGCCTGGGCCAGACTCGGCGCTGAGTCGTGGGGTTGGAGGGGGGAGGCAACAACTTCCACTTGGTAAAGAATATGTTTTGTTTCTTCTTTTTTCCCCTGTTGGTTTTAAAGGGAATTTATCACTACTGGAATTATTTCTATTTTTCCCATGGGACTTCAGCAAATGGAGGACAAGAGGCAGGGAGCGAGGCCTGAGCCATGGTTGTTGTTGGGAAGCATTGGACACATTTTTGCTTATTATGGCTTAGTGGTTGAAATCCAACCACTTTGCTGCTAAAGTTTGATTATTCTTGCTCCCCTCCAACGTCAACCGAGGAGCGGACCAGTTGGTAGACCATTAAGGGATTTGCCGGGTGGCTTCGCCATCTGTCAGGTCCAGGCTCAAAAATGGAGAGGGGTCCTTTCTGGCCAGCTCGCAGGTCAGCAAAGTCAGTCTGTGAAGGATTTGGAGAGGTAGGCATTCCTTGAGGCATTCCTTCGGGCATTCCCCGAGGCATTTCCCCGAGGCAACCAAGGAAACACGCCAGAACAACCTGGAAGGGTTCCCAATTTGGGAGTTTGTCAACATTAATTTCGGACCAAGAGGAACCCTTGGGCACCAAATCCCATCTGGAGAAACACCCCCCGCCAAAAGACAACAGTCAAAACAAAGCCGCTTGTTGGGGCTTGTGTTAAAGGGAAACCAAAAGGCAAACCACCATAGGGTTTTTCTGTTTTGATACATACCCAATGTGGTTACCCATGTGGTTACCATCGTGACCTCAAGTCCAGTTTCTTTTTCTCTGGCTCGAGCCTCAGGCCGGAATGCTGCCGGTGAGGCCGGTGAGGCGCCTGCTCGATTTCAGGCGCGGCCTCCAGGTCAAGGGGGGGCGGTTGGTGTTTCATGCGCGTGCGAGGGGAAGGCCGCAGGTTTTTCCGGTTTCTTTGTGGAGCCGGATTGGACAGCATGGCACAACTTGCGGTTGGGACCTTGAGCCAAGCTCTCTTGTCGAAGCAGACAAATGCAAGCTTTGAAGCTTTCATTTTTTCCCTTTGGCGGCAACTAAGCAATAACACTCCCTTCCCAACCCCTTGCTCCTCCCTTTCTCACCCCAACTCTTTATCTTGGAAACAGAGGTTGAGTGACAATGCGGGAGCGAGAAGTGTGCGAAGGGCACGCAACTCTCGCCGCAAGTCCCGGCCAGAGTCCACGGAATCCACCAAAGCAAAGCCCAAAAACTGTGTGGAAACATTTCGAGCTTGGCTAGCCGTTTTTGTTTTTGGTGGTTTCTGCTCGACCCTGGGCTCCGACCCCACATGGGTATGGGTGAAAATGAAACCACCAGGATATGGACCGCAGGTTTGAGTCCCTGGTTCCATTCGCCAGGGTCCCCAAAATGGGTGCCTATTCTCGACCCACAGCCACACGTAGGCCATGGTTCAAAACCGTCTTGGGATCCGCCATTTTGGGGATTGAATTCCCCACCCATTTTTGGACAATTTTCGCCCTGTCTCACCTTTTGGCCAAGGACAAGTACCGCCTGGGACGGCAGATCGGCGTAGGCGGGGAGGGCTCGCCGGAGCCGAAGGGCAGAGGAACCCCAGCCCACAAGGAAGTGCATGGGGAAATGGATTTGCAACAGGGAATACTTCCATTTGCTGAAATGAATATTTGTTATCTTTATTTTTACTTTCCCCTGTTGGTTTTAAAGGGAATCCCTCACTACTGGAAGGACTTGAGCAAATGGAGGAACATTTCAGTGGTAGCTGGACATGAATGCCTTGAACGGTGCACATGGGTAGATGGTGCCAGTAGAGTTCGGCCGGGGCTCAGCACCAATAGCACTTTGACAGCGAGCCAAGTGAGGAGCAAAGCCATGCCTTCGCAAATGGACGAGGAGAGAATCCAGAGGTGAATATCCTTCGTCTCCTGATCACTGGTTTGCTCGCCGTCGCTAAGCTTACCTTTCCAGCCTTTTGACGAGCATGGTTGTCCAAAAACAAACATTGTCTTCCACAATTCTTGGAAGACATCTTTGTTTTCCTCCGGTTTTCCAAGGCGCCTAGCCTGCATGCTCCTTTTTCTGCATGCTTGCTTCAAGACTCCCCTCTCCGCCAAAAAAGGAATGCGCACGGAAGGTTCGGTCAAAATAGCCGGTCGCGGCTTCTTTCGGAGCAGGGTTGCTCCGAGCCTCAAAATGAACACACCGGACGGGTGGCAAAATTCGGATGGGTTTTTTTTGGTTTCTTTCTTTTTAGCTGCATTTCCAAGGGCTCTCATGGGAATTTCCCCGTGCACCAGATCCATGTTCTTGGCCTGAGATGTTGGTCTCTTGTGAGGCACCTATGGCTTTGCATCTCGGCAGACGTGCGTCTTTGGAGAAGGGTGACAGGGCAAACAGGGCAAACAGGGCAAACAGGGCAAACAGGGCAAACAGGGCAAACGGCAACTTGCGCGGAGGGGGTGTTTGGTGTTTGCAGATTTTGCGGGTCACCTGTTTTGGTCATTGGCCAGGTGTTTGAGACACCCATGCTTCTGGCACAGTTCCCGAGAGGTATTGATTTTCGTGGCGTTTCACCGGGTGGATGCCTGGAAACCTGAGGATCCTGAAGCAAGGAAAAAGACTTGGGACCCCGACATGACCCTTTAAACTAAAAGGTTAGATATATGAAAACAGCTGAGTCGAGCCTGAGAAGGAATTTCGTGGCCTTTGATGAGAGGATGGCCACCTCCAACCCGGTTGATCACATGCAAGACTTGGACAATGCGACGCGACTGTTGCTCCGTCGTCGTCTCAACTGATCCCTAGTTGAACGGCTTGGGAGTTAGCTACATGGTCGCTAACCCTGATTACAACTTTCTATGAGGACTTACAACCATAGTAAGTGGGTGATAATCATGGATAGAAACCACTTAGACAAGTTCCATACTATCTAGGTACAATCCTCCCTTGATCATGACTAAGTACCCCAAACCCCATTCCCTGATAGTACAGAATTGTCTCCTTGTCCTTTTTGACACCCCCCCCAAAAGAGGCAGTTCAAATGGACACCAGTAAGTTGCAAGCTTTGACGGGTGAATCCCAGCGACCATTCTTGAACGCTTTGATGATGAAACTTCTCGTCTAAACAATAACTAACATGGAACCTGACGGGGGGGTTCTGGAAGACCAAATTTTCGTTTTGTAGGGACCTTGGGACCCCCGAACGTCCGGTTCCATGTTAATTGGGAGAGTAACCCACATGGTTGCCATGGATGGAACCCCAGCGTTCTGAGGTTTACGACGTCCAGTCCCGCAGAGCTCCCCAGATGAAGCGAGCTGCCAAGGCCACAAGCCGAGAGACGAGCGTGAGTCTTCGGACGTCTACCGCTCTTTTGGGAAGCCCCCGGTCCACTTCCATGATGGTTCGGAAAAGGTGAAGTGTTCCCTCTTTTTTGTTTCGTGTTTTTGTCGAAATTACACATCGGGGGGTTTGCCTAAAATTAGAGTTTTCCTTGGTCCCTAAAATGTCAAGGATTTTCTTCGAACCACCAAACTAACGGGTGTTTTTAGTCGGTATTTTAAAAGGAAGCCACATCGTTATGACAAACTCCCCTCTCAACTGAAAACGCTGTTGCTTCGGGGAGGAGAAGGGGTCACGCGCAACATCTAAACATCTAAGGGGGCAACCCACTATTTCCAAGGCATTTCGTCTGTCGGGGCTCAATACGTGCTAATTGAATACTAAAAAATCAAGGGTTGATTTTAGGCGTGTGTGTGAAGTTGCTGGCATGTTTGTGCTTCCCGGTCTCTGCTGGTGTATTTTTTGTTTGAAATCATGCCGGGGGGGTCGTGGTGTTTTTTGAAGTCACGCTGGGTGGTTCCGGTGTTCTTTGTTTTGCATTCACGCGTCCGCTTTTATTGCTTCAACTCACGCCTGTGGACACGGGTGTTTTTTCTTTGAAGTCACGCCTGGAGGTCCTAGCGTTTTCTTCTTTTTTACATCATTCTGGGCATGATTTCACAAATTCAATCACCGGAGCCCCCAAGCGTGACTTCAAAAAAAAGCACCAGGGCCCAGAGGCGTGAATTCAAAACAAAGCGGGCCCCAAGGCTTGAATTCAAAAGAACAAACACCCCGGCCCACAGGCATGCATGCAACAAAAGCAAGCACCGGGACCCCCGGACCCCCCAGACATGAAAAAAATCAAAGGAACAACAACACCGGGACGTCCCAGGCGAGATTAAAAAGCAAAAAACCTGGACCCACGGGCGCAGCTGTGCGAGTCCAAAAATCAACACCGGAGCCCCTGTATTGGGGGTCACCGTCCTATTGCCTTTGCGATCCTCGTGCTTGGGCAGCTTTATGCTTCGCGGTGTGGCTCAGGTTGGTCGACTTCTCAGGCCGCCCCAAAAGAAAATCAGTTGAGCCACTTGAAT